TACAGAACAACTAGGTTTTATGATACCACTGTCATAAAACTTCTTGAACATATACAGAACATAAAAGCCCTCCTTCATAATACAAACGTATGCGTCAGAAGACAAATTTCAGCGAGGTTGTCTCTGCAGAGCTGTTCCATTTAAAAATCATGCAGATAGCTAAAGAAGCAGCTCTTAGCTCATTTTTGTCACACTTGATCGCACAATGAAGTCAGGCTATGCAGGAACGGACGGCAACTTTGGCATCACTTTTGTTTTGTACACACTGCTGCTCTCTATCCTCCTGAGGGTCTTCAGGGCAATACGCTGCTATGAAAGAACCATGAATTTGCTAGATGTCACTTTTATTGTAGGACTTAAAAGTTTGACTCTCAGATTCCCACTCTTAAAAACTACTCATAGGTCTATTGCTCACCTCTCCTCGTGCAGAACTGCTGTATATTAACTACATAGACCCACAGCTGCAATTAAAACTAGAGCTGCAAGCAAAACCACAGCTAAGCCATCTAGCTAAGACACACCCAGACACTTTATAGCTACATCCAAAATCCCTGCTTGACTTTTTGCGTAATGCACTATACCTGGGCAGATGACAGCACGTCTCTTCCCTGGGAAAAGCACCTGCAAGTTCCCTGCCAGTCGCCGCCCCGAGCCCGTCTCCCCAGTGCCCTCAGGGGGCCCTCTAACACAACCTATCCCAAAGCCGCGCAAAGCCAACGCCTTCCAGCGTTTCTCAAACATTCTGCTCTACCTCATGAAAGACGCTAACATTTTCATCTAAGAAAAACGTAAGTGTTTTCACAGCAACCCAAAAGTCATGCTCCTATATTTCCCTTCCAGATGGTGTTGGTTTCAGGCTTCAACAGCTGGGCCAAGCCAGCTCTGGAGAAGGCCGCGTGGCCAGCCCAAAACAAGTATTTTGGATCTTGTGATTTGTCACAGTGATGTAACTCAGCAAACTTGGCTAAGGCTGGATGGTGATATTACAGCTAGTGGATCTGAGAATTTGCTTCTAAACACAGAAACGTCCAAAAAGACCAGTTGAAATTATGTATCTTTATCCTTTTTGTAGCCTTCTCTGCTTCTCATCCCCTTTTCCCTTCCCCTGCCCCCCCCTTCCAATATAAGTGCTTCAGCCTTAACACAAGCAGATGTTTTTCATCTCAGATTGTTTGACAAGTGGGGAATGAGGAAAAAAGCAAGACAAAACATAATTGTATAAATGCAGCTATTTATTACATGCCCTGCCTACTACAGTCAGTAATTTAGAATCTAAGATTGCTATTTCTCATTTCAGCTGTGGACATTCTCTGTAGTAATAACTCAGTTTTACACGTAACATTTTTTCTCTCCCATCTCCAGTTTATATGTTTCTTTTGTTTCACAACACAGTCCTCTAAAACCACTGAATTTCATTAAAGCACAGAAGGCTGCACAACTGAATGACGTGAAAGCACACAAACATGTTGACATTAGACAAGAGCTTTTTCTAACCGTAGATGTTAACACTAAAATTCAGCTCAAGATGTCCAAGATAAAACTCCTCTTCTTTAAACACTTCTCTTTTTCTAAGAATCAACGCAACCAAACCCACTAACATACCAATGAATTGCTACAGACTGAGAAACTTGTTACTGGTTAGGGCTTAAATCCAAAATATACACCTTGCAATCTTCTCAGAAGGGTCACGAGGGAGGTGGGAGCATATATCCTATCAGGCTTTGAGTGAAAGGTTCTCTAAAAACTAAAACACACTTTACAATAACACAGGTTGGGTTTTTCTTTGTAATTTTTTAAAACTATTATAAGCACATCTAAGTTAGTTCCAGGTTCAGTTGCACAGAAACAAAAGAGAATGTGATCACAAAACCACGTTATCCTACAGCGCGGCAATTTAGAAACAAGAGGTTTTATTATATCAAGTGACTTCGGACAGCAGGTCATCAAAACTTAAAATATTTTCTGCCAATCTGAGAAGAAAATAAGGGAAGCTCAATATAAGACTTCCTTCCAGAAAGAGTAAGCCAAACACCACTGGTGCATACATACAGAAATATCAAACAGCGTGGCTGAAAACCACATACAGCCCCAGTATGACTGATGAGGGGGGAAAAAAGTTGCTTTTTTTTTTTCCATTAGAGGCATGTTCATTTGCTTCTAAGCAAAACATTTATTGCCAAAGATTCCTCTCTGCCATCATAGCAAACATTTAAATTTTGATCTGAAAAATTTTGTTCAACTGTCAAGATGTATACACACCCCCTACAAATCTGCTAAAACTTTGGTTTCCAAAGAAAATGCTAATTAGAAACTTACTGTTGGAAACATCAAGAATGACTGTGATGCACATATGAAAAAAGAGCTTTTTTTTTTTTAACCTTCGAACTACAGATAAAATATGTATCAAGTGACCAAACTACACATTTTTTCAAATGGGATCTTTAAGTAGATTTCAATAAAGGTGGCAGGGGAGGAAAAAAAAAAAAAAAAAAAAAAAAAAAAAAGATCAGGTATATGTGTAAAGGAAACCTCAACTCTGAAATTTTACCTTGCAGGTTTTAAGCCCTTTTATCATTAACTTCCCATCAAATGAAAATAGTAGGATGACTGTCAAATGAAGAACAACTCTAGCTGAACTGCCACTTTTAATAACCCAGTTTCCATTTAAACAGGGAGATTGGCCGTAGGGTTTGAGAATTTGTCACTACCATGTACACCCGCTGATAGTAAAGTAAATGCAGATGAGATGAGCCAATTTTAAACAACCTGCTCCATTTTATCCCTTCGGCCATTAAAAAAAGAAATCTATCAAGATGGTATGAAAATTAACAACCTTTTTTGAAAAATGGAGGATAAAAAAAATTGCTGTGTTTGTACTGAATTCAGCATTAGATACATGCAATAGAAATTTACCTTTTTGTAAGTATAGCTGACAGCACAGCTATGAAAAAAATTTTCACAATGAAAAAGTTTTGATCAAATGAACATAGCAACTGTATTCGTTTTCATGTTAGCATTTAGGGATAAAGATTTAGCTTATCCACACTGAGACATTAAGTTGTGCCCCAGGAGGTCACACACACAGGTCAATTAACAGCTCCAACAGTTGCAGCTATTTTAATAGATTTTTCTAATGAACCAAGAAGATTAGCACCCAATTTCAGATTTCAATGCAAGCCATACCATCACTGGGAGAAAAAAAAAAAAAAAAGGTGTAACTTACAGTTCAGATTTAATGCTTTTTTAATACCTTAGCCTTAATGACCAAAATAAGCTCCAAGTGATAAAATCTGGCACGTTCAGTAAAAAGTGACCAGGTTGTACGCTCCAAGCTCATTTCCTACAGCTCATAAGTCAGTGGATCAATTCTAACCAGGTATCACATTGCTTATCTCCTGTAGTACTCAAAACATTTTTCCAAATGTGCACACTGTAAAATGGAAGTTCTGGGGGTTTTTAGAAGAATTTATCTTGAATATATATGCTGGATTTGTGAAACAAAAAAAAGGATTCCTCCAAGTTCATTATCCTAAAAATAGAATACTGAAATTAGACTGCAGGTTCCATGGGATTTTCTTACCAAGTAGATCTCACGTTGTTCATTAAAATAAAATGGAAAGCTACATCTCCAAGTAACAGAACATATATTTCTGGCTTCAAAATATTGAATTTTTAATTTTTTTTAAATAAAACCAAAATATTCAGTGTTAACTTTCAGGTTTAGCCCATTTAACATTAAATCAGAGATGTGAAATGCTAAAGCAAGCACATTTTGCATTAGCATCTATATCCAGAAACTGCCAAACTGCCCGTTAAATCTACTGAATAAATCATGGGGAAAATAATGTCAAGAAGTGCGTAAATAGGAATGACAGGCAAACAACCAAAGTGAAGATGAAGTCACATGAAAGGAGTGACAAAGGAAATCGGTGCAAAACAATTGCAAAAAGCACTTCAAGTTAACCTAGAGTTCACAATTTTGTTTGTGAATTGTATTTTCTCAAGTACATATTTCCTGGTAACTTTTGCCTGCTTTGAGTATTATGCATAACTAGCAGCTTTGATTCATTCAGCATATAATTGAAATTTAAACCACCAATGAGCCAAGATACTAGGTCTAACCAAAAACTCTAGTACACATAATAGACACAAACCAACTGCCTAGAAAAGGACAAATCACCAGCACAATGGTCACTAGCAAATTAGGCTGTAAAATGAGCAAAGATTATATTGGTCTAATTAAAATTATCTATCCACCTATAGATTTTGACCTTGTGCATTTCCCATATGTAACTGATTACTGGGTTTCATTAGACATTAATTTCACTTTGCTGCATAGTCAAGGCTTAGCATTAAAGTTTGTTCAATTACATCTCCTTCCTGATGGTCACTAAAGGAAAAATTACACATATATAAAAGAAGGCATACGGGTGCATTCTTTGTATGCTTAAATGTTCAAATCTTACCAGACAACCCAGAAAAATCTTCATTTAGAGTCTGGTTTAGGGACACTAAGTGAAAATCTGATAAACCTTCTGTTTCCGTGAGTTGCTTGCATAAACAAAGCATTTGCAATCCTCAGATCTCTACTGTAAAATCTGAGCTGACATTAGATCACATCCCTGCTAATTATAAGCAGTGTTAGATATGTCGATTTGGCACCTCTGGCATGGAAAGCTGGTCACTACTACTTGGACAAAATTGAAGTAAGACTAAATGACAACTTACTCTAATGAGAAGACATCCCACATCCCCTAATTCTATATAATCTCACTGGTTACAAAAATTAATACAACACACACCCCCGAGCAAGAGTCACTGGTAGCTCCCTCCCTGGCACCAGCAAATTTCTCCACTGTTTGACGATGAAAATCAAGCGGCTCGTTTATGTTTACAGACTGTGCGCTGGGTGAGGGAGCTGGCATTAAACACGGTCCTTAACACCCTTTAAAATTAATTCATTCTTTGAACATCATACAAAAGGAAGCAGAAATACTTACTAGTACAGAACTTCATTTGCTTCATGCCTTTCATATCTAACAGTTTCACACATCAGTCTGAAAGAGAAGAAGTCATTTTTAATTACAATTCCTATCAGTGTCACAAAAACTTCACTTCCTAAAGTTAGTCAGCATTTCCACGTTTGCCTCCAGCACTCGCAGAAACTAACCGTCAATTTAAAGCTATCTGGTTTTTAATTTAAGAGAATAAACTGTTAAATCTAAGGATCAAAGTTATTAATTCATCCAAGATCAGATTTGATTTAGGACACTACATGTAATTGCTCCCATAAAAAAAAAAAAAAATCTATGAAACTGTTAAAATGATACTGATCTCATTTTATAAAGTGATCTGATAAAAGTAAGTTGCTTTATAAGGAAACAATGCAAAATTTTAGAAATGAATGGAAATTTATGATATGTAACACTAATCAGAGATACCACAATATTAAAAGTGCTCCCTTTTTCAAGTCAGGCCCAATATATAAAACAAGAAATTATGTTGCAGGGTAAATCAATGCTTCTCATTTTGCTAAAATTCAACAACTTAAAAATTACCATGATATTTTAATGCTGAAATCCCAGAGGGCTCAAAGTGGAGAAAATTTCCTGCAGGAAAATCCTCTGTCTAGAGGGGAGGATTAAAGAACTTTTGCATTCACTCTCTGCCTGACAAATGTGGTATAATAGAGAGCAACTATAATAGAACTTACTACATATTAAGAAATGCAATGTTAAGTTGGCGTAAAAAAAATAATGTGCCATTTCTGTCTATTGTTTTAAGGAAACAGACCCTGTAAATTACTGGGGGGGGGGGGGAGGAAACAAACCCCATCACCTCCCTTAGACTTTCTATGGCTCTGAAGCAGACTGCAAACACGACACGAAGGCTATTTGACAGTCCAAAATTTGCCCAAGAGGCTCATGTGAACATTCAAATGGGGAATTATATCTAAATTTGGGAAAGAAATTGTCATTCCTCACAGGATCAATCATCAGAACCTCAGAGCACCAATGACCGGCTGCCTGTAATGGTATCCTAAGCAGACAAAAGTGCTCAAGAATTCCTCCTCTGGCACCAAGTCTCAAGAAAAGTTGATCTGAAGCCTGAAAGAGTTGATCTGGCTTTGATGTGACATTTAAAAGGCTTCTTACTGCCATTTCCCATCGTTTCCTAGACCATTGCAATAGCCAACAGGCTGCTACAAAAGTTACCTTAGCACTCATCTCTTTCAAGCTTTTACTTATTAGTTCAACTCACTAAGAAATACTGCTTTTTCTGTCCAGATGTGTCAGGCTTATAGTGGTGTCTTGATAATTTATAAATTGTGAACAGAAAATAAAAAACTTAATTCTGTTTGCTAAAAAAGAAAAAAAAAAAGGTTTTACTACCACAGCCTTTCCCCCTGGTATTTTAGATCTACTCTTTGGACCACCTTTGAGAACTTTTCTTACAGACAATTTCTGCAGCATATATAATTAGTATTATGTATTGTATATCACAGAATGGCAACGGTTGGAAGGGACCTCAGGAGATCATCTAGTCCAAGCCCCCTGCTAAAGCAGGGTCACCCAGAACACATTGCACAGGACTTCATCCAGGCGGGCTTTGAATATCTCCAGAGGAGGAGACTCCACAACCCCCCCGGTCAGCCTGTTCCAGTGCTGTCACCCTCAAAGTAAACAAGTTCTTCCTCATATTCAACTGAAACCTCTTATGCTTCAGTTTGTGCCCATTGCCCCTTGTCCTGTCACTGGGCACTACTGAGAAGAGTCTGGCTCAGCTAATTAAAAATATTCTTGCTTCCTGGCACAGCAAAAAAATTTTGAATGACAAAACTTTCTCTTTTTCAGCCACTGTTCCTCACCATAAAATCAGGTCTTGCCAAAATCCTTTGCAGACACCAAAAGCTACTGTCTGCTTCTACCTCCTGGCTCCTGTCTTTCTCTCTGATCCTCTGTTTTGAGAGGGAAGGGGAGAGCGGGCAGGAGGTTACTGGTGAAAAGACACCAAAGGAAAAGTCATTGCTAGCAGTCAGATTTACAAATTAAAATACTGCTCAAGGATAGATAGCCTGTGCCTTCCTGGCCTGAAACGACGCTGGGCAACGGACCATCTAAGAGCAGGAGTTACAGGAAACAGAATCATTTTAACAAGCAACTTTTGTTCCCCTCTGAACTGGGAGCAAAGGAAGTACATTCTTGATAAAGTCACACAAGTTCACCACTGGCACTGTCTGAGTTTTAGTGGTTTGGTCCCATTATTAGGACAGTAATGGGAGAAAATGCCTCTTACAGAAGGTAGCCAAGTGTTTCAATTCTTGGGTTCAACTGGGACAGTTCGAAATTACAGTGACCAAGTAGTATAAGCTAGATTGCTTCCACAAATATTTAAAAAATTGAATTAGTTCTGGTCAATACTAGCATTTAATTTGCACTCAAACGTGATCTTTGTCTGCTTCCTAAATAAGCATAATAAATTCAAGATGACATCATCAGCAGGCCATAAGGTAAGTTATTCACTACTAGAGGCTATATTTAATGCATCCCAGAGGTTTTTGTGGCATCCCACCGCCACAAGAAATGTTGTATCCTAAAGGAGACTATAAAAGCTTTCTGTCCCACATCTGCGGGGAGCCCGGCCTTTTCCATGTATGGTACTGTAAACAGAAGCTCTCTTCTAGGAATTCAGTGTGCCGGGAGAGCGAGCCCAAGTTCCACACATTCCTCAGCAAGAGCCTCATTCTGCACGGGAAGCCAAAAAGCACAAATCAGCATACCACGCAACCATATGTGCACACTTTGATCTCTGTAAACAAGTTAACATCAGTTCAAGTCCTGCTATGCAAAACTCGATGTGCTAAAAGTCTTGCCTGTAATAGAGTAACACAAAATACTTTAAGTGAATGCGATCGTGGCCTCCTTCCAAAGCAGAATTATTACAGAGGCTACTTTGAAGTCAACATTCACATTGTAAAATGTGTCTGGGGCCCTTTGGGAGAAAGAAAACCCCGCCTTTTATTTTCTCCAAACTACAGAATATTGGCTTGGGAACGTGGACTCTGACAGAATGACAAAGCAAGAGGCCAGAAATTAGAATCTAAACCAGCATTAACCAAGTCAAAGTTGCTTCGGTATCTTCAGATGTGGCAAATGTTGGCAAACCCCAGGATGCAAAATAACAGTAATTCACCCTCTCTCCCCATAAAGCCTACAGGAGATGGGCTGGCCTCCTCCTGAATCTGCCAGCCTCACACTCATGTCCAAATACCCTTAGAAACCTCTGCTGCAAGATGTTTACGTGAGGACAACTGGAATAATTACTTAAAAATCAAACGCACACAAGCCTTTACAAAAAATGGGAAGATCATTTGTAAGATTTTACTTGAGTTTAGTTGCTTAATGAAGCATTTTAATAAAAAAATGTGAATGACATTTATTAGTAATTTTTTACTAAGTATCATTTGCATTTGTAGTACATAATTTTCTAAAACCACAGAAAAGCAAGCGCAAACTGAAACAGAAGCTGAATAACAGACTCTACTCTCATCATTATTATATTACATAAATTATTTGGACTATATATGGACTTTCTTTCAGGACTGGAACTTGTACTCTGTATATAAAGCACTTGCTTCCAGTCTGAAAGTTTGAAAAGAAAACAAACACATCCATAATAGGAAACAGAAGGAACAAGTAGGGATACACTTATGCACATATCCAAGGAGCAAGTGTTAGGACAATAAAGAAGGAAAGAGATGGATGCAGTGATAGCCAGTTTTTCATTTTGAGGTAGGGTACACAAGAGTAGCGTATAGTTACCAAACCGACTGTTCCTTTGCTTTGTTAGTGCATTAACATAGATCTGGTTTTAATCATAAAGTATCATACCTTAGCTGATGCTCTCTCAGATTAGACAAGGCTTCCATTCCATGTAAATAGGAATACACAATCTCCAAATCCTACAAATATAAGGAAAACATTATTAGGATTCTCAATTTGGTACAAGCTGTTAAATACTGCTTTTGCAAAGCATCCAGAGCTATCCTAGTAGGGGCAGCAAGAATATTTGAAATAACACATTTACAAAGAGGTTAAAGGCAAGTTGCAGGAATATCTTTGATTATACATTGGAACCTGACATGGGGAAGAATGATGGTATGTCCGCATCGGAAAATACAAAGACAGAAGCCTTTCTGCTTTTGCTGTCATTACTCATGCCCAGGAAGCAAGCCTGGTCCAGAATTCCAGTGAGCAACTACCACTGTCCTGCTTCCCAATGCCAATGCATCCCAAAACCTTGATTTATTCCATAAAGCAAGCTCCTGGAAAATTGGCCTTTTTGTGTTCAGAGGAAAAGAAAAAAGTACAAAACAGTCTAACAAAATACCCCACTGTACATAAATATTTATAGAATTGTGTCCTCTTCAAGTGGGAGGTAAACTACAAGCTTAAATGATAAACAAGTTGAATGAACAGAAAATTATTGTGATGACATAATTAAAAAAAAATCATAAATACAATCCTAGTTACATGGCAAAGTGTTACATTAAACTATTGTGGACCTCCAATATCCAGCTCACAAAACAACATCCAAGACTAAAACTTCCTAAGATGCAACTACGGAAACACCAACATTGTTCTAGAGGCTTTGCTAACACTACAGTTAAAAATAACTACCGCGCTTAAGAGAAAACTTCGGTTCAACCCACAAACTCTAGGATGATTTCACTTTGGCTCATGGGTTTGATGCTGTTTCATTACCCATTTTTTAAATGGGCTAGTTAAGAGACAGTGTATTACCTGCAACTCACAGAAAATCAGAGCAGGGGCTCTCCACCACTAGCTGAGGCTGACAAAGTTGAGAATAAACTAATACCAATGCCAAACACTCTCATAAGTTACTGTAGGAAGAAGTTTTTAAGTAATGGAATATATCAAAGCTATAAATTTATGAAAGATCTCGTCACTTGGAAGTATTTGTTTGTTTAAAATTGACCGTAGAGTACAGAAATAATTCAGTTTGTAGACACAATGAAAAAATGCTAGACATGGTATTTGGGCAAAGACATTAGGACTGAAGTCGCACAGAGAACTTAAATTCAAGTAAGAAAAATAAAAATAAAATCTAGTTAAATGCATTAAGTGTAGAAATATTACTGTACTTGTTTAAACCATGCTACAGATCACAAAAGGTACCAGGAGTTACACTCAATGGTTAAGACTACATAGATGTCTTTCACTCAGTATCTAAAAGAAGGTCTTTTTCTCACAGTGATAAAAAGCAAATATTTAGTTTTAAGAAGTGAAAGAAATGCACAAGCCCAAATGCTACAATTTCATCTCTGTTCTGGTCCTTCCGCTCCCTGGCCCTCTAGAGGCTCTGGTCCCCCTGTGAGGAGCAGAGGACAGATCAAGGACACACGGAATTATGCATGGCTTGGATGGAGGGACCTTACACAGAAGACTTTGAAAAGAACACACAGTAGTTGCTTGCCTAGTTGCCTTTTTTTTTTTTTAATACTAATAAAAGCACATAAAAGCACATGTCTGCCGCAGTCAGTGACCTGCTCACTTGCCGGGCAGGCTGGGGGCGACCAAAGGCTCCCCGGAGCCCTGTGCCAGCGGCAGGGTAAGAGACAAGCCCGAAAGTCCCCGTGGCACCGCTGCCGCGCATCCAGACATGCCGGACTCTGCTGCACAGGCCACCGGCTGCTGTGGGAAGCCGGGAGTGGACCACAGGGGGTCAGATGCCCACAGCAGTGGGATTACAAGGAACAGAGCCTGGCCAGAAAGTGCTACTGTAATTCATTTTCAGCAAGCCTATCTAACAACAGGCAGACACAGAACAGGAGAATAACCCTCTGACACCAGCTTGCACTGAGGTTTCTCTCGAGTGGCACAGACTTTTTGTGCAGTAAAGGACTCACAGATGAATAAAGAACCATTAAAGATTCTGGCTTACAGGGATCCACAGACCTAAAAGTGGAAGTGCACAGTAAAAGGGATCCATGGACATTTGGATTCCAAAACTGCCAGGTGACACAAACCTAGCAATGGACCTTGCAGATGTACAGAGCAGGAAAGAGCACAGGTTATGTTCCCGGAGAAATGCAGCTGAAGTGACTCAAAGCAGGGGGAATGCATTTAATCACTGAATGGTGTCATTCTGACCAGTTTCACAAGCCAGAGACAAGATAAGTTTAGTGAACACTTTTAAAAAAAAAAAAAATAATAATCCATCTTCAAAATATAAGCATACTTGTCAAATATTTGCAAATACAACACCCCATAGGTAGCCCCACCAGGAACTGCAGGTGGGTTTGCTCCTCACCTCTCAAATCTGCACCTGGAAATATAAAACAGGGGAGTGGGAAGAAAAAAAAAAAAAAAAAAAACACGCCCACCGCACACACCCAAAATCCAACCCTAGACAAATCTTTACTCGTGCTTCCATCATGGCTGCTAGCTGCAGCAACACAGGGAAGACAAAGTTGAAGACATCTCATCAGAGAGATAACTACAATGTTCCTTTGGATTTGAAAAAAAAACCAAAAAATACAAACAAACAAAAAAAAAACCACACAGAGCGGTGCTGCAGGCAGTGGGGTCCTATCAAAGCAAATAGTCATTTATCATTATTTATTATTAATGTTATCATTGCAGTTACGTGTACTGGCATTAAATCAGACCATGTTTCTGAGAAGTGTGCTGTAGTCCGTTCTTTAAGCTGTACCTTTCCAGAGGGTGTCTAGCAGGAAAGAGCTCCCTCTAGCACCAAAAGTTTAGCACTGACATTTAAGTAACAACCAGCATCACTGCTTTCAATTAAATTCTCCATAATGGTGCAAGGTACAGAAAACCCCAGCAGAGTCAAAAGAGCTGAATGTATTTTCATATACTGTCAGTAGACACTGCACACTTCCAGTCGGTCAGCAGCATTAAAGAGTAGGAAAACAATTTGGAAAAGAAAAAATAAAATCAGAATATCAAGTTATTGTCATGCGGTCACCTCAGTTTTCCATTTATCTCAGGAAAAAAACCATGCTTTGCTTACTTAGCAAACATACTCATTATCGAGCATAAATAGTTGTTTCAACTTCTTAATTAAAAGTGAATTAATGGAATGCAAGAGTCCTTCAGAAATATTTGTGCCGAGTGCTGTAAAGCCCAGTCGATTTCAAATGCTTGAAACTGTGGTGAAAAAAACCACTTCACAAAAACAACGCACACACACAAACTTAGGCATGTAAGCTACAGAAGTTTTCAATTTTGATATTCTAAAAAAAAAAAAAAAAAAAAAAATCTCCAAAAAGCTAAAGTTTTTACACACTCATGAAAAGAACTTGGTCTTTCAAGGACACAACCTGCCTTTGTGATTTATGCCAGCTAGTCGAGCGAAACCTGAAAGCAGCAGCTAAATTCAACCCCGCTGTGATTTATAGGAACCCCTCCGCTAGCCTGCAGCACCCCTGAGAGCTGCCCCGAACTAAGCCACAGGAGATACAAAAGCACGCAGGGGACAGCAGCAGCCTGATGCCTTTTTGGGTTGTGGTTGGTTTTACAGTCCATATACTCAAATTACCACCAGGTGGCAGACTGAGCTGTCAAAATTTCAGAGAAAGTAATTCTTTACACAGTTTCTCCCTTTATTTAAAAAAAAAATATATATACCTTTATAACCGTTTATAAAAGTCAAGAGAACCAAAACTAATCAGCACCAATACAACCGGTTACATATTATTCTACAGTAAGGATTACTTATACAAAAGCGGGGAGGATCCACTAACATTCTGCTTTCTGGTTTTTACTCAGCCAGCAGAATTGACTCAAGACTGCAAAAGCAATGCAAAGGCTCAGCTGATCTTGCTACAAGAATCAAGCTCCACATAAAGATTGTAGCAACAGTGTGAAAAAACATCTCAATGGAAACTCCAAAACCAAAATTTAAATGCAAAGGACAAATAAGGGCACTTTTTAAAGCATGTTTTTATTTAAATGAAGGCTAAATGACTGAAATCTAATCTATGCTTAAATTTGCACTGCAGCCAAAGCCGTACGCTTGGGTTGCTGTGAGTGGAGCAGCCCAAAATTTGTTTAATTCAGTGTTATTTCTTAATTTGTTTATGTCCATGGTGTCAGCTGGCTCAGTTCAAAGTTCTGACTGTGCTTTGAAACAAACCGGAGAGACTCAAGTTTTAACACAGCTCAACCTCAATTATATCTGTAGAAACACATCGGTCTGCAACCTTACCTCTGCTCTCCATTCTAATAAAAACCTGCATATGTTTATGCCCAGACATTTCTATCCGTTTCATTTGTGTTTCAAACATATTTGGCAATGCCAGTTACACAAACCAGACAAACCCAAACCAGAACATTGGCCCCAAATTCATGCTAGCTTAATAAATAAATTTTTACTTTAGCAAAGAGACAGAGACAGGAAAATTTACTACTTTGGACTGAGAAAGCTAAACCTCTCTCTAAAAATCGCAGACTTACACTGGTTTCAGTCCTGGTTGGCATTAAGGTGTAAAACTACAGCCCCACTCAACTATTCATCCTTGCCACAGTTAAAAAGCAAAATGCTGAGCTGAGAAATTAATTTATTGCTTTCTTAGTGAGAAATTCACTTATTTCTGTGGAGCAGCAGAGAGAAGCTTTCATCTTCTAATAGTTTGCTTTATTTTATATCAAAGGGTAAAAATAAAATATAAGCTAATTCCTTAACTCACTGTCTTGGATAAAAAAAAAAAAAGGATCTTTTCAAAGCACCTGATACTCACCTCAGGCTGAAAAAGATTGGCCTACTGAGCATACAACAGGCTTGGAAAGGCTGATCTTTGTTAAAATATCCCATCTTTAGCTCACGTTCAGCCAGCCACCAGTGGGACACGCGGGGGAACACCAGGCTCCCAGGGTGAGGGGGGCGGTGGGTGGTCACACCCACTCCCCATC